TACAATTATGTCATCTAGATATACTAGACACTCGGTATACGTCAATTTTCGTAGGATGTGATTCATCATACGGCTCCAAGTAGCCGGTGCATTCTTCAAACCCATTGCCATACTCAAAAATTGGTAATGGTTATCAGGAGTAGAAAATGCTGTTTTCTCCGTCCTCTAGTTATATGGGCACTTAAAAATAACCAGATGCTAAATCCATGGTAGAAAATAGGTGAGATCCCGCTAATTTTTTGATGGTCTCTTGTATATTGGGTAATGGGAAATAGTCAGTTTTTGTTATGGTATTTAATTCCCGATAATCTATGACAAGCCTATACTGGATTTCCTCTCCAGGGTGTCTCTTCTTTTCTATAAGGATTGCAGGAAAACTCCATGGTGACTCACTTTCTACGATCACTCCGTCATCAAGTAATTTCTGGATTTGTTGCTTCATAACCTCTTGTCGATGATATGGTACTCTATAAGGTCTCTTTATGATTGGCTGCACATCCTCCGTAATAATTCTATGTACGACCTCTGTTGTACAACTTAGTTTGTCTTCTGGTGCTTTGAACACGTCAATAAACTCAACAACAAGCTGCTTAAGTCTTTGTTCATCACTCGATTAGGGATTTTCTAAATTCAACTTCTCCAAAATTCTTTAACTCCCTTTTGGTCAATACTCCTTATTTGCAGAGTTTATTCCATCTTCTTGGCTCCGCTTCGTATGCTCTTGCGATTACAGATCTACTTCTTAGAGTTAATTCTTTCTCAGTTATATTCAATAACCTCACTGGGACTACACTGTCCTTCTTACACAAAACACGTGCCACTAGCAATCCTGACAAAGCTTCCTCACATTGTTGGATAACTATGTGCTGAGCCTTAACCCTTGAAGCTCTGCGAAGAGTTGCTTGACACACTACTTGACTCATTGGCGGTATTATCATTCTGAATTCCATATCCTTTACTGGACTTTCATTAGAATTCCTCTCTAATGGACCCTCAAAATTCCTTCGGAATTTCCCTGGAAGTTCACTGTCTTTCCTCTCCAGAACTGGTGCTACTGACCAGCCTGTCAAAACTTCATCACATTGTTTAATGTGTTGAGCCTTAGCCCTTGAAGTTCCGCGTAGGGTTCCATGGCACACTTCATCAATCATCGGCGGTATAATAACCTTCTCTCCCAGAGACGCCAAAAAACCTTCATCCAACAAAATTTCGTCCTTCACTGGACCTTCATTAGAGTTTTTCTCTAAAGGAAAACCTTCCTCATCCTTCACTGGACCTCTAATAACTTCATCCTGTCGAAGTGGACTGGATCTATGGATTTTTCTGGAACCGGCCAGTTACCTCGATGACGTCATTAACTTTCTCCTGGGTTGTTCCAAGCTGTAAGTTGGATTTGGTTCCACACCGACTGCATACCGCTGTTAAACTTCGATCCTTCATCATATGCAGTGACGTCGGATCCTTCCCTTTTGGAAATGTCATCGTCTCATCTTTTCCTACATTATCTTCCATTTTAGAACTATTTCCATTCCTCTCCAAATTTTTCACATAATTTTTCAGCTCATCAAGCTCCATTTCCAAGTTTCTAACTCTGTTCATCAACTCTTTTTCTCCTTTCTGTATCGCATACTCAGCAACAATATTTTCATCATACATTTGGATTTGCTTCTCAAAAGCGTACATACAGTTATTCTGCCAATCTACTTTAATACCACATTGGCGCAGAAAATCTATTCCCAATAGTATATTTGCCCTTAACGAATCTGTATTAACCACAATAAAATTGTGTCTCGCGAAGATGTCTCCGTCGAACATCACAGGTATATTTGCCATACCTCTTACAGGAATTTTATGTCCACCAAATTTATATCAAATTGTTCCTTTTGGAACCCCTTAGCAATCTTGGGCTTAACTAGGGATACTACAGATCCAGAATCTATTCAGGCTAGGTACGACTTATCATTAACCCTAATCCTTACTATATTACATCTTTCTGGGGTTCTCACCTTGGAGCATGTATATATCCCTACCTATTTCTCTTCATTTAATCCCAACTTGCCTCGTTGGCAGCCACGTCTCGGGGTTGATAGGGGGCTGCGTTAGAGTTTAAATAAGTCTGCCTATTTCCCGATTGCTGGGTAAAAGCGTTGACTTCCGTGCGGCAATTTTTAGCAAAATGTCCTTCCTTGTGGCATCTGAAACAAACAAGCGTACCTGTGTTACCTTGTCTGTTCACGTCCCTTAGTTTCGGATAATTTGGTCTTACGTGACCTTCCTGGTTGCAATTGTAGCACACTATTTTACTAGCTAGCAGCGTTTTTTGATTCCAACGGTCCTGACGGCTCGGGCCTGCTGTCTTCTTTTTATTCATAATTCCGCGGCATTCTCGACTGTGTAGCTTCAGAAAATTTTCGATTGATTCTCCCCTTTCAGCTATTTCTAATGCTTCATCCAAAGTTGCTGGATTTCCTGAGAGTACACGTTGTTTAATTAGCATTAACAATCCTAGGGTAAATTGGGTGGCAATGCCTCCGAGAAATTTCTTTTTCGACAATTTATCTGTTGCTGGATTTCCGGTGAATGTAGCGGTCCGGTGCCTCAATACCTTCAATCCAGTAAGGTACTGTCTACAAGCTTCACCTGTTCGTTGCTTGCATTCAATAAAATGTTTCATAGCGGTCCTCTTCACATAATGCCTGCCAAACTGAGTTTTTGGACTGCCCTTTAGCAGAGTCCAGCTTGTGGTAGTTTTTAGGGTTGGCTCGGCTTCGATAAATTGTTTAGCTCGATGTAAAATGCTGGTTTCTTCTAGAACATTTAGAAATTCTTCAGCACTAGTAGTTCCATCATAGGTAGGTATGGAATCTAATCCTATAAAAAGGTGAAGCATGGTGGTGCTGAATGGCGTTAATGGGCTCGGAGGTTTGGACATTTTTGACGTCGCTTGGTTAATCCTACTTAAATTTTACTAATGAAATTACAGTTCCTCTCAGTTCTCGAATTATTTTTAATCCTACCGATGCTCTCACAATACAATTAAAATAACCTCACAGTTGCTCTCAATGTACAAATAATAGACCCCACACTTGACACCAATGTAGCAAAACGCCCCAAGTACTCTATGTAATTGGTTGGATGGTAAATGGCGAGCGGTATATTGATGGTGTTTATTTCCTTGGAGCTGCTACCTATAAAATTGTGGAGGGTCTATTCGCAAGAGAGAAACAAACTATTGAGGTTTACTAAATTATATTTTATTATACATAAAACCAAAAATTTAATTAAGCAAAATACTTTCAATTCTGACAGCCACTTCTAATGTTCCCAATTCAAATTATTTCACATCCGTTCAAATGTCGTTATTACGGACCAGGAAATATCCATAAAAGGAAAATGCCCTACTCCTACTATTCTCAATAACCTATACGTTTATACATTTCAACACTTCCGATTCATTCCTATTAAACTACCCTTTACCTATATCTATAAATTTTTAAAAATTCCTAAGTCCTTTAATTACTGTTTATCCAAAATCAAATAATTATTTGTTTATTAATATAGGTATCTCTAACTTATTCTTATAAAAAGCTTACAAATATTTTTACATGAAAAATAAAAACCCTAATTCAAAATTTCGGCACTTAAGATCATGTTTCCTTATGAACAACAGGTTTCATTTCGAAACTTCCCATTTACATATAATGGTTTATTTAAATCAGAACAATTACTATTTTCGGATTCCTAGACAACAAACACAATTATTTAATTCTTATTAGATTCGTTACTATCCCATCTTACTATAGCCCTTAAACTTCAATTTGGACAATTCAATTCAAAATTCTTTAATAATTCCTACTCAAAATCGATACTTGTTAAGTGCATTATAAATTTCCCTTTTAATTCTTTGCAAAATTAATTAAAATGTTATTATACTCGAAGGCAATTAAATTTATGCAATAATGTTCCATAGTCAAAACACTCGAGTTATTAATATTTATGCAATAAAGTTCCAAAGTTAATTCACTTCATAGTCATTCATCATTTATAAAGTCAAAGAGTTTTACTAGTCACAAGAGTAGGTGCTTACATTTAACTTTTCATACGTAAAATTACTTAATTCAATTAACTTCAAAAATCTCTAGAGCACGCACATAGTATTGAACGAATTTAACTTTTCTTTCTTTTACAATTTTCCGTTACTATTTCGAAGACTTTTCCCCGAGGCAATAAAAGAAACTTTCGCGAATTTTACCAGGACTGACACATTAGGTACTGAAGACTTTAACTCAAACTGGACTGAACTAACAACTCAATTGACAACTGCTTTCCACTTCTGAAACCGCCTGTTTTATATTTTTCGATTCCCCCCCCAAAGTATTATTAATTATCCACCAAAATCGTCAATAGGCGGTCGTTTGAATATCAATAAGTCAATTCTATTGGCCGACCGAAATATTATCAAAAAATAATGATGCAATGTATTTGAAATTTTTATCATTTTTATTTGTTTAAAATCGAATATTTATGTCGCAATATCCTGATTTATAGAGGTCAACACATCTTTCTGGTTCAAGAATGCCATAAATCATCGATTTAATTATTATGGCCTCGCTGGTAATTATTTTTAGGAATTTTTGATGATGACATAGGCTGGGTGACGAAATAATATAATTTCGAATGTATTTGGGGTCAACGTTAATTTGTTCCCTTCTCAATTTATTGATACTGATTTGAAATACAAGAAATTCAGTTTTTGATTATTTGATTACATTTAATTTTTACAGTAAAGACATTGTTAATATTGGGACTATTTTTCCGGATCGTTACAAACTCTTTTACCTATATTGAATAGTATCTAAGATTAAGAGACTCGATTATATTTTTCCATTTTTTACAGAACATTGATTACTAATACTTTGCTTTGCTTCTGCATTACTATCCAGAAAAATTGGTTACCGTTTGTACAGTGTATCATAATCGTTCGAATTCTATAATTACAGAACGAAATTCGTGACAAATTAACACCACTAGAAGCCGAAGTGAAATATTTTATGGTACAAGAAGAGAGAGACGCTTACTTTGGTAAAGCAAGAAATCCCCAGTCCCAATTGAAACCCGTCCTAGATTTAAACCTACCACCATCTAGAAAAGATTCAATCATCATCCAGAAGAACTGTGGCCACGACAATATATGTATTCCAAATTTGCACGTTAGCGTCACTAAGTGAGTCAACCTCTTAATCATTCAACGATAAACCTAAATTTCTTAAAATATTTTTGTAGAAATGTAGAAAAATACTTATTGGATTCCAACACCAATCTCGAATTTGACATTATTGTTTCCAACTTTGGAGAAGACGCTTTCGAAACGACTCTGGATCTAATTTATCCCGATGGGATTTACTACAAGAAAACTGAAATCAAAGAAGACCTGCATGGTATTTTGTGTAGTTCTGGCGAAAATAGAACTATTTCTTGTGATATTGGAAATCCATTGCCGGCAAATAAAATTGTAAGTTAAATATTTATGGTCTTACTAAACCTAAGACTAAATTTTTTTAGGCAAAGTTCAAAATGATTTTTGTACCATTCCACAAACAAGGCATCACTGCAGATACGGCTGTTTATGAATTTGATGTTCTGGTTAACAGTACTAATCCAGAAAAGAACGAGACTTGGCAGGATAATCATCTTCATTTGGTGGTTGATATTTTTGTCGATTCTGCTTTGGAAGTTAGCGGGTAAGCAGTTTTGTTACATTTTTTCATCCTTTCCAAATTTCCTATTTTTCTTCTAGTCGGTCTCTTCCACAAGAAGTCTACCTGCTCTCCAACACAACACAGTATACCACCGAAACAATTACAAAAGAATCCGAAATTGGTCCTTCAGTAACTCATTTATACACCTTGAAGAACAAAGGTCCAGCTACTATTGATGAAGCTGAAATTTACTTCCTGTGGCCTTGGCAAACATTATCTGGCGAAGATCTGTTATACATTTTGGATCAACCCCATGTTCCAGAAGGCGTGAAATGTGATATACCCGCTCCAGTGAACTACAAAAATTATGCTGTAAGTGTTCCTATAATTTGTTTTTATTATGTTTCTAAAACATTATTTGCAGTTGGATTATAATCCAAAATCAATTTGGGAAAGGTTACAAATTGATTCTTCTAGTCACGACATGACTTCCAAATATTCTTCTGTTCACGTTGAATCGGGAAGAAATGTATCAGGTATGGCTATTATATATTATTGTGAAATAACTACATTAACAAATCGAATATTGACAAAAAAAAATCAGGTGTTGCTGGTGGATCAAGAGTTACAACAGGTAGAGACGAAACAGTGAAATTTTCATCAGGCGATTCTTCTGATGTTTACGAAAAACGGCAAAACGCTTCGGTTACTGGCCAGGCGGCAACATTTGGAACTACTTCTGGCCAAGATACCAGTGGTCAGTTAATAACAATTAAATAATAAAATAAAATTTCTTATTTGTATAATTAAATTCTATTAGGACAAATCAGTAAAGCGGGGGAAACAGTTTACACAAAATCTGAATGGCGCACGACCGTCGTTGATGGTAAATCCATCACAAAGTGGACCAATGTCACAACGGTTAAGGATTCTACGGGTAAAATTGTCAGGACTTTCTATTCAACAGACGACAACGGAGATCAGATCGCGACCAGCAGTAATGTCGACAGTTTCGGACAAAGAATAGGTAAGCTTCAACATAAACTAGGACCAGATTGGGCAATTACCAAATTCGAAACAAACTCTATTAACATAACAATATAGGAATGAAACTTGGGTGAATTAAATTAGGATGCTATTTAACTCAAAATATAATTTTGCTGCACAAGTAAAATACATACAGGGTGTCAACTTGAAAACTTCCGACCCCTATTATCTCGGAGTAGAAAAATTTTCGAAAAAATCCCTGTAACACGTCAACTATAATTTTAAGGGGGAAGAGTTTTTATGCGAAATCACTTTCCTTCTTCCAAACCCCCACCCCCTAGAAAATCTTAAATGGGAATGGTGGTCAAGAGATACATCATTTTGCAGGGTTTTACTGTTTTGGAAATATTGACAGTTGAAAATTAAATTGACTTTTTTGCAACTTTGACAAGCTGTAAAACCATAGAGAGAAGTTTGTTCAATGTAAGAATCTGGAAGTGTGTTTGTGCGCACACCCGTAGCACCAGTGACGCAGTTAACCTTTCTCTGGCCCGTAGGTCAATTATTTGGTATGGCCTTTCATTAGTGATTGTTTTTTTTATAGGGTTAAATAAAATAATTCAGACGATTTCAAACTATACTAACCTGGCAGAATATGAAGAAAAATGTTGCCAAGAAGTATTGGGTAAAATCAAAGAAAGGTACTACAAAATGATGGAACAAGAATGCTATATGGTCGGAAGGTCCTAAAAGAAAATGATGGCATTGAGCTCCCAGTCTACCAATCACCACATATGGATGCTGGGGACTAACTGATGGGTGCTTCGGAAGAACAGCTGCATGGCTTGGAATCAAATCCATTAGCGAGGAAAAGATGCATAAAGGGTTGCAACTCTGAGGAAAATTCGTACCACGTTGCCTGTGCATGTCCTTCAAGCTCCACAACAACAAGGCACGACTTCGTGGTACACTGGAACCTTAAGACACTGCTCAAGTTTCTGGATGCTCTAGAAGAAGCTCAAAGTAACTTACAATTTTGCAAAGTAGCGCAAAGACTAACAGGTTCCTGCTGTAGTCGTTGCCAGTTGCCACGTGCCCGTGCTGCGCTAATGACGCGACGGCGATTCAGCGCAGCTCGATTACTCTAGGGCGTGTTCCGGATTGATGCTCGATGGAACGAGCGGAGCGACTCCAGAGCATCGTAACGTCAGGCAGTGCACTCTGGCCAAACTAAATGTGCTTGTGCAGTGTGAATTATAAGAATTAAAGAGTATTGAAATATATGCTAGTCCTGCTATTAAACAAGTCGATGTTTTTAGTATAGTGGGCTTTTATATTTTATATTATAAATTGAAGGCCAGCAGTTGGCCTTCATTCTCTAGTGGCCCATAGGACATGACCTAATTGTCCTAACGGATAAAGTGTCCCTGCGTAGCACATTTCGCATTGTGTGGCAGCCTATTGAACTAATTACTTCGATCGTTTCTGACAACTCAGTTTAATTTGTCTTTGTCAGCAAATTGCCCGAAAATTTTCTATCTTTTTTTTACACATACAAAATTTGACAAATAAGTAATTGAGTTCTGTGATTGAATACAAAGACCATCAATAAAAAACTGAATACTCATCATAATCATAACGTAAAATGTCTTCCACTATTTAGGCCAATAAACTATAGCTAAAAACTGGAATGCGCAAACATTGCCATATCTGCCAAAAAAATGAAGCCATGATCTTTCATAGGCCACAAGGGGCAAGAGTTGTTTTTTTCTGTTGCTCGCTGACATATGACGTTTTCGAAAGTTTTGTCATATTTCCCTTCACAGGTTTCATCAATTGGAATACGTGATGGAAGCAATTTTCGCCATTTAACATAATGAGTGCGACAAAAACAGGTATCCCCTCCGCAGCAGCCGCACTAGGCTTCAAGTTCGTTCTTATGTGTTAGCATTCCAGTTTTTGCTTATAGTTCATTGATTTAGGCCGTGTTTATGTTGGAGCTGTGATAAAAGCTATAGTTGAAATCACGATAGAAAGTGAAGTTGACTTGGGTGGATAAGTACTTGTAATAATTCATGAGTTCATTGAATTTAGGTAAGCGGTCAGATCCATATAGTTTCTTGATACTGTTTATCATTTCCATAAGCTGATTTGGATCTAAAATCAAATTATGCATCGTGTTTACATGCGCAAAGGAAATTGCATTTTCTACATTAGTAATTAATTGATTGTGCATTTAATTGGAACATTACGTTATCTAGTACTAAGGATAAATATAGAGCGCTAGATATATCTAGTTGGCTGTTTTCTAATAAATTTAATCTACTGGCTATGGGTTTTTGATTGTTAGGCTTTTGTAGAGGTTCGGTATACGAGCTTATTACGCGAGTCAGTCAGTCAATGTTCATTTTTTGCTTTTTAAAAAATTTAAATCGACTATTTCACTAGTGTTTTACACTGGCAAAATGTCATAGACACGGCCGGTTTCCTACTGACAAAACTGCTACCTGTTCCTACCTGGACAAAACCAACATGATGGTTTTTCAGCGACAAAATTTTGTGTGATTAGAGTAAAAAACTAGTGAGTTTGACAGAGTAAAAAACTAGTGTTTGACAAGTGTCACCTAAAGAAAATAAATTTTCCAAATGAAAATTTGGCTTGTTTTTCTCGTGAAATAGTCCAGCCGAATACCACTCGAGGAAAAATTATGCAGGCAAAATTATTCTCTTGGTTTTATTCAAGTTTGTTGCTTTTTGGTAATTTCGCTCATGAAATTTTTGTCAAAAATGTCATTCGCGAAATTGCCAGTAATAATATAACTAGTGCATAAAATATTTCCGGAAATTTTTGAAAATTTTGTCTGAAGCCAATTTTTTAACAAAATCATGAGTGCATAGCGCCTGAAAAAATCCCGAACCCGGAGGGTAAGGGATTTTTTCTTTGGCGCTATGCACGAATGGTTTTGTTAAAAAAAATTGGCTAAAGACGAAATTTTTTAAAATTTCCCTTAGGAAATATTGTATGCACGTGTTATATTTTGATAGGAAATTTCCCGAGTTTGAAACTTATTTACTACATTGTGTCGAATTCTTTTATTGATGCTGATTGCTATTGATCTTTTCCATATAAACTGCTTTTGTCAAAAATATACACTTTGACAGATTTCTGACATCAATGCGTTTTAAATGGAAAAACGGGCATCAATGTCAAAAATGACAATTCTGGAAATTTTCCCCGGGATATTTCCAAAAATTTCCACTTATTAATTTTGACAATTTGTATGCAAAATTTCCAGTGTAATTTGCACAAGGGAAATTTCCAAGCAACAAACTCTCATACCAGTCGAAAATTTTGCCAGCAAAATTTTTTCTCTTGTGGTATTATATATCCTGTTCACAATCCGATGTCCACAGGTACAGGTAAATTTTTCACCTTCCCCTATCAAATAACATTGAGAGGTGATAATTTTACCTGGTACCTGTGGACATCGGATTGTGAACGGATAATATATGAAAATCAATTGTAGAATCTAAGGCCCGCCTCACACAACCGAAATGTCTTTCTGAATCCAGAATCAGAATTCAGGATCTGAATTCTGGCACATTGCCCCACACATATCTTAAAAACTCCGCGTCCAGTATTGATTGTCCTATAGTTTGCAGCATCTTTTGAGCAGTGTTGGTTGAAAGGGAAGAATCAGAATCTGAATTCCGGTTGTGTGAGCTTGTATATTTAGAAAATTTGGAAAAGCATGCATTATAAATTATAATCTTAATTTTTCAGATGATTTCAAAACGCTCGTCAGAGTCACTCTGGCAGATCGATATGAACAATTCATAATCTGAAAAAATCAAAATGTGTGTACTGTCTGAAGAGGTGTCAGAAAAATTATCGTAATGTTGTACTGTATAATAAAAATATATGTACAGGGTGATCCAGTATAAAGTGAACACCCCCTACCTTTTCGCAAAAAAAATTTTTTTTGAGAAAATCAAGATAGCCATTTGGTGTATTTTGTTTCTAGGTGTTTGAGACCGTTTTTCGAAATTTAATTAGATTTTTCGTTAAAGCGCTGTGACCAAAAAAGTATTTTTTTTAAATGGAATAACCTATGTTTAAGTCAATTTTTTAAACGTCCCTATTTTTCTCATTTCAAATATATAGTTGGTTTATCTTTATTCAAAAAATTTGCGACATATTCTCACTTCAAAATTCACATAAAAATAGCGGAAAAGGTTTCATAAAACATAATCACCAGCAGCTTTATTAAAGGTAAAATTATTTAGATTTACCTTGATACCTTTTCGGCTATTTTTATTTGAATTTTGCAGTGAGAATATATCGCAAATGTTTAAAATAAAGATAAACAAACTATATATTTGAAATGAGAAAAATAGGGACGTTCAAAAAATTGATTTAAACATAGGTTATTCCATTTAAAAAAATGACTTTTTTGGTCACAGTGCTTCAACGAAAAATCCAATTAAATTTCGAAAAACGTTCTCAAACACGTAGAAACAAAATACACCGAATGGCAATCTTGATTTTTTGAAAAAAAAAATTTTTAGCGAAAAGTTCGTTCACTTTATACTGGATCACCCTGTACAGTGTGTATCAGCCAAATGGAATAAATTCGATAATAAATAAATGGGGCACTTCTCGAAAAAACGGTCGAACACGTCAATTTTGTTTTTTTGCTTGAGATTTTTTCACATCAATGTTTTTTCACAGGGTGTTCCGAAAACAGCTGTACCGTTATCAACTTTAGTTTTTTTAATGGTACCCCCTATATATTATGACATTTCTGGATTCTGCGGAAAATTCTAGACATATTTTATGTACAATGTCATATACCTATCTTTAACTGTTTCGGAAATAATGACAGTTGAAAATTGACTTTTTTGCATTTTGGACAAACTGTAAAACCTGAACGGTTAATTTTACAGCAAAACCGATCATACATTCTTGTCTTAGTTTTTCATAAACTATCATTTGACACCAACTTTTAATTTAATCCATGAAAAAAAAATTCGTTTAAA